GAATGGCTATCGTCAAGAACACAAACAACAACAAATGCTGGTGAGGATGCACTGTTGGTGGGAATGTAAACTAGTGCAATCACTAAAAATAGAAGTACCACATGATCCAGAGATACCATCGTGGGCATATATCCAAAGGAATGTACGTCAGGGTACAATAGAGGTACTTGAATGCTCATGTTCACCGTAGCACTATTCACAATCATCAAGCTCTGAAAACAGCCCAGAGATTGATTGGGAAAAAAATGGGGTATGCATACACAATGGATTATTATTCTTCCATAAAGAAAAGTGAAAATACGGGTTTTTCTTACAGATAAATGGATCATGTTAAGCAAAATATACCAGTGTCAGAAGAACAAGGACCAAATATTTTCTCACATGGAAGCTAGACCTAAAAATAAGCATATACATAAATACACACAGGATCATAAATATATAGAGAAAACATGTTTGTAATTGTGACTTTGAGGACACTAGAGGAAACAGGGAAAATAAGAGAGAGACTATTAAAAATGCATTGCGTATGTATCATAATAGTATCTGGAAACCCATTGAAAACTTCAATAATAGGAGAAAGGGATAGAGATAATAATTGATAGTTGTGTGAAATACTACAGTGAAACATCTTTGAAAGATCAACATAAGCCTGAAATAAAAATGAATGACAAGGGCTGGGAAGGTGGCTCAGTGGTAGAGCGCTTGCCTTGCATGCATCAGGCCTTGGATTCGATTCCTCAGCAAAAAGAAAAAAGCCGGAAGTGGCGCTGTGGCTCAAGTGGTAGAGCTCTAGCCTTGAGCTGAAGAGCTGAGGGACAGCACCCAGGCCCAGAGTTTAGGCCCACAACCGGACCCCCCCCCCAAAAAAAAATGAATGACAAGAGTGTATCATAGATCTTAGCAGGGGTACTAGTAGGAGGGGAGGGCAAAGGGATAGGGTAAAAGAGGGCTAATATGCTTGAAAGTTTAATATACATATTTGAAAATAGAACAGTGAAACCTGTTGAGAATTATTTAAGAAGGAGGAAAGGAGATCAAACAGGACAATGAATCTGTACAGGGTGTATGATAAGCAAATACAGATATGTTTTCAAAATTACACTCTTATTTACAACTAGTAGATCCTAATTTTAAAAAGATAAAAGAAAAAAATTGAGTTTCTACCCTTTCCATAAATGGAATAACTTCAAGCAAGCTATTTTAGTGCCAGTATCTTTATCTGATGCAAGGATTAAGTGAGTTCATGTTAATGAGTTATTTAGCATTCTGCGTAACATAGATTAAATAGAAAGCATCTCAAACTACATTAATTATTTTTTGTTGACTTAAACATAAATGCATGGTTTATTAAACAAAGACCGAAAACAAATATTTGTCAAGTCTGTTACATGTATCACACAGGAACAGCTTTTAACAGAAATCCATTGACCCCCCCAACATCTTTTTATTATAAATACAGATATCAAAAACAATCCTGAGTATATTTTAGATACTACTAGTAGTCAGCACCCACACTGTTTAAAAAATTAACACAATTTTTGACAATATTCACTGTACCTGCTACCTGACCCAATTTCAACTGCAGCTTTTTCACTACGTGGGATGGATGAAGCATGCCACTTCAGCTTGTCCTTCTGGAGACTTTGTTTTGGAAGCGCACTCACTGTCCACCGCAATTGGACTCTTCCTGCCATGCTTTCACCTTGAAAACCTGAGTTCTGATTCGAGTACTCCAGGTTCATGTTTAAATGACAGCGCCTTAACAAGAGAAAGAAAAATTCTGCTGCATTTTTCCTCCTGTTATCTGAAAACATAATGGGTGTGCATATATTAAATATGTTCTTACCAGTGTCCAGGTCATGTTTACCAGCTGAAATTCTCTTACTTAATGTGTAGGTATTTTGCATTGTGATATTTAACCAAGACATTAATATGAGTAGATGGTTGATTTAAGACAAATTTGAGGTTCCCTAAAATTAGTTATTATATGTTTGTCCTTCTGTGGCTGTGGAAGCTTCATATTTTCCTTGGACATCTTTAGATGTCTTAGCTCATGAAGTACAACTTTGATGCTATATGAATTTTGCAACTTTGCTAACACTGGTATGCTCCATGCATCCACCATTCCACTGGAATTGTTTATTCCATTTATATTAATTTTTGTTACAAATCTAACTGATGGAGGAGCTTCTGGATATTTAGGCCCACATTCTACTTTTAGGCTATGTGTTCTGCTTTCATGGTTAGTCTTTGGTGGCCCAATAATCATGCCTGTCCACCTTGTAAGTGTCATATCTTCATTATCGTCAAGGCCCCAGCTAACCGCACCTTCGCATGCTCCTTTTTGTCCTTCTTCAAGTTCTTCCAATAAGAGAAAATTACAAGGAAGTTTAACTCCTGTGGAGGCCACCATCTTCTCCTGCAGCCCAATGCAGCCACCTTAAACTACATTCATGATTGATTGATTGATTCACATTTTGGTGGTACTGAGATACTCATGTTTGTTTGGATGGCACTACCACTTGAACCATATTTCCAGTTAAAACCACCTTTAAATTGAAGTAATATGTGGGGGGAAAAGCAGGAATGAAAGTCAAGTCTATTTTGACAATATTTTGCTCTTTCTTTTTCTTCCTTCTTTCCTTGCCTTTCTTTCCATCCTTCTTCCTTTTTGTCTTCCTCTCTATTTTTCTCTCTCTTTCTTTGATACTGTCTCACTAGGTAGATCAAGCTGGCCTCAAACTTGAGGTCTTCCTGCCTCCCTTTATCAGTATGGGATTGCAAGCATGAACCACTATACTCAACTAACCGTATTTTCTTCTATTGTTACTGTTATTATTAGAGATCTCCAGGCAAAAAGTAAGCATTTGGCTAATGATTAAGAAGAGACAGGTCTGCAACCATTAGATAACAGAGTTAGAGTCAGAACCAAGTGAAAGAACATAAGTATTCTGGCTAAATTCCAGTGCGCGTGGTTAACATTCTCCAAGTTCAAATAATTTTTATTATTAGCCAACACTTGTCCTCCCCAATTCCACCGTTGCACAAGGGCACAGACGGAGACAGTCCTTGCTGGCATGTTCACAGGCTGTGCATACTTTCCATCGAGGGTTCCCTTTCTTTCAGATGGCAGAGTCATCGTCTTTCAACTCTCACTACTTGTAAGGTGGGGATGGGGTTTGCAGACATAAAGTGCCAAGTAATTCATTCTAAGTAAGGAGATAAAATATGAACACCTGTAGGATTCCAGAGACTGAAAGATGCAGTGTACATTTTCCCATGTTTATTCATAGTTACAATGTCTGTGGAGCGATTAGTGATGAGGCTGAGCTTATAACTGAAGAGGGAGATGGCTCTTCTGCAGTTTAGTCTCCCAGCCTTTACAAATGGGACAGAAAAGATCGGCAACAATTCGTAGCCTATCTGAGCCACCGAGAGCAGTCCTGAGTCCTTCAAGTGTTCCCCAGGCCCTCTGCCTGTTTCGCTATTTTTCCCCCTCCAGCGAGAGAAAAGGTTGGGGGAGAGGGGTACTATGTAAACTCTCTTCCTAGGCGTGTGAATGAATTTCAAGTAGGCGAAACACCTCAATCTTCCAACCTAATTAGAATGTGTTGGACATTTAAAACTTGCCGCCTAACAACCCATCTGGAGAGCGCCCCTGCGCGTCCCGGGGGTCGTGGCGCCCCGCAGATCTTCCCCGGGCCCGGGGCTTCCTCCGAGCCCCCAGCCTGCACCCCCCCCCCGCCTCCCAGGAAGCTCCATGGCGCAGCTTAGTGGTGAGCAGCCCCGGGGGTCCGGCTCCCTGCCCAGTACAGAACCCAGAGCCGAGAGTTTGCGACTTCATCATCACAAACCTCGACTGAAAAGGACTGACATCTTCCCAGATCAGAAAAGGGCTTTCTGGTCCCAACAGTAAGATGTTTCTAGGCGATGTATAAGATCGAAGCTGGAAAACAGCCAGGGCTTGGGGAGCGGGATGGGTAAGATGATGGTGCATGCCACTGCCCCGCTCCCTGGGCTCCAGCATGGGGCGGTGCACGAGATGGCCCAGGTGCTGCCCGGGTCACCGTGCCAAGCCGGTAAAGAGCTCACGCACCCTAGAACTGCCAGGATTCCAAGGCTATAGTAAGAGGCAAACGAACATCGCGGTAGGGGCTTAAGCGTTGGGTTTTCTTTCACCCAACCCACAACAGCGCAGACTAGAGACAGGTGTCACAGCGAACAGTACTTCCTGAAGCAATTCTTCCACACAAGCGCCGGGCTCTGCAAAGAAGCCGAGCTCGCGGAGAGGAGAGACCTGGTGGTAACTGTGAAAGCAGAGCTCCAGAAGCCTGCACCTTCACGAGCGCGGGAGTCCGCTCGGTGCGGCGGGCGCCCGCAGAGAACTCCGGAGGGACTTCTTGCTCGGGTTTCCCGCCCGGGTTCTCAAGGCAGAGGTGATTAGCATTCTCCCCGCCCCCATCGTTTCCAGGCCCACTATTGGCCAACGCTCTACCGTTGCCCGCCCCGGGCGGGGCCACAGGGCGCGAAGGGGCGGGGGGGGGGAGACTGGCGGAGCCCGCGGGGCAGTGGGCGGGGACCCAAGGAGAGCTTGGTGGGGCGGCCCGCAACGGGAGCCCGGGCCCGAGGGGGGCGGGCCGGGGGCGGGGCCTCCCGGCGGGCATTAGAGGCAGGTGACCCGGGCGCGGCGGGAGAGGGCAGTCAGCCTGCGGCCGAGACTCAGCCGCCGCCGCCCGCAGCTCGGTGCCCCAAGGAGGTGGGCGAGAGGGTGCGCCAGCGCGGGGCAGGGGGAGGAGCCGAGCCGGGTGCGTCCGGAGAGCGCCGCCACCGCCCCCCGGAGTCCGCCGGAGCGCGGAGCCCCCTGCAGGGGAGCGGGCGAGCGGCGGGCGGGACGCGGCGGCGGGCGCTCACCATGCAGTCCCGGCCCGGCCAGCGCCGGCGGCTCGCGGTGCTGTAAGGCAGCGGGGTCCCCGGGCCGCCGCGCCTCGCCTTTCTCCCGCCCAGGTGCTGCCAAGGCGCGCTCGCTCTTCGTTCTGCTCCCGGTCCCGGGTGGAACGCCCGGCCTGCCCCTGCCCCGCTCCGCCCGGATCATGCGGGGCGATCCGGAGGAAGAGAAGGCGAGTGACCGGCCTACGCCGATCGCATTCCGGGGGCGCCCTGCTCCCTGAGACGCCCCCACCTGCTGCCATGTGTCGCCGCCACCCGTACCCGGCCTTGTGCTAAACTTTCCCAGCGCCGGCCCGACTCGGAGTGGCGTTTCGGAGCCGGGTGGCTCGGAGGACGGACGATCCAGGTTGGCTGCGGACATCTGTCCCCCAGCGGGACCCGCAGAGGTGAGAGCCCGCGCCCGCCCGCTTCCTCGGCCCCTTTCCCGGGGCAGAGCGCCCAGTCCGGAGACGCAGCCCCGAGGGCCCGTCCTGGGAAGGAGGGTGTGGGGAGTCAGAAGTCCGGGTCCCGCGGGGAAAGTGGAAGAGAAGAGAGAGGTTCCCTGAGAGATTGGAAACTCCTGGCGGGGATCAGGCTGTTGACTCTCCCCTCTGCGAGGGGTGGTTGTGATTTGTCTCCCCGATTTTGTCTTGTTAAAAAGACTCCTTTGCTCGGGATCGGAGCCCTCGCCAGTCTCTTCCCCCCCTCCGGAGGACCCGAGTGGAGGCAGCGCCTTCCCGAAAGCAGTTTAGCGCTGGACGGATTTCTTTAAGAGAAAAAGAAACCAACAGGTTGCCAGCCCCGGCGTCGACACCCAAGTGTGCGGAGAGGACAGCCCGGGTCCCGGATTCCTCGGCCTGTGTCGGCCCCTCGCGGGCTGCTCGAGACGAGGGGAGGGAGGGGGGCGATGGCTCGGCCTGACCCGTGCGCGCCGCCTTCGCTGCTGCTGCTGCTCCTGGCACAGCTGGCGGGTCGGGCGGCGGCCGCCTCCAAGGCCCCAGTGTGCCAGGAAATCACGGTGCCCATGTGCCGGGGCATTGGCTACAACCTGACGCACATGCCCAACCAGTTCAACCACGACACGCAGGACGAAGCCGGCCTGGAAGTGCACCAGTTCTGGCCGCTGGTGGAGATCCATTGCTCGCCCGACCTGCGCTTCTTCCTGTGCTCCATGTACACGCCCATCTGCCTGCCGGACTACCACAAGCCGCTGCCGCCCTGCCGCTCGGTGTGCGAGCGCGCCAAAGCCGGCTGCTCGCCGCTCATGCGCCAGTACGGCTTCGCCTGGCCCGAGCGCATGAGCTGTGACCGCCTCCCGGTGCTGGGCCGCGACGCCGAGGTCCTGTGCATGGATTACAACCGCAGCGAGGCCACCACGGCGCCCCCCAGGTCCTTCCCGGCCAAGCCCACCCTCCCGGGCGCCCCGTCCTCCGGGGGCGAGTGCGCCAGCGGAGGCCCCTCGGTGTGCACGTGCCGGGAGCCCTTCGTGCCCATCCTGAAGGAGTCGCACCCGCTCTACAACAAGGTGTGGACGGGCCAGGTGCCCAACTGCGCGGTGCCCTGCTACCAGCCGTCCTTCAGCCCGGACGAGCGCACGTTCGCCACCTTCTGGATCGGCCTGTGGTCCGTTCTGTGCTTCATCTCCACCGCCACCACGGTGGCCACCTTCCTCATCGACATGGAACGCTTCCGCTACCCCGAGCGCCCCATCATCTTCCTGTCGGCCTGCTACCTGTGCGTGTCCCTGGGGTTCCTCGTGCGCCTGGTCGTGGGCCACGCCAGCGTCGCCTGCAGCCGGGAGCACAGCCACATCCACTACGAGACCACGGGCCCGGCGCTGTGCACCGTCGTCTTCCTGCTGGTGTACTTCTTCGGCATGGCCAGCTCCATCTGGTGGGTCATCCTGTCGCTCACCTGGTTCTTGGCGGCCGGCATGAAGTGGGGCAACGAGGCCATCGCGGGCTACGCGCAGTACTTCCACCTGGCCGCCTGGCTCATCCCCAGCGTCAAGTCCATCACGGCGCTGGCTCTGAGCTCCGTGGACGGGGACCCGGTGGCCGGCATCTGCTACGTGGGCAACCAGAACCTGAACTCGCTTCGTGGCTTCGTGCTGGGCCCACTGGTGCTCTACCTGCTGGTGGGCACGCTCTTCCTCTTGGCGGGCTTCGTGTCTCTCTTCCGCATCCGTAGCGTCATTAAGCAGGGTGGCACGAAGACGGACAAGCTGGAGAAGCTCATGATCCGCATCGGCATCTTCACCCTGCTCTACACGGTGCCCGCCAGCATCGTGGTGGCCTGTTACCTGTACGAACAGCACTACCGGGAGAGCTGGGAGGCGGCCCTCACCTGCGCGTGCCCGGGCTCCGACGCGGGCCAGCCGCGCGCCAAACCCGAGTACTGGGTGCTCATGCTCAAGTACTTCATGTGCTTGGTCGTGGGCATCACGTCGGGCGTCTGGATCTGGTCTGGCAAGACCGTGGAGTCTTGGCGGCGCTTTACCAGCCGCTGCTGCTGCCGCCCGCGGCGGGGCCACAAGAGCGGGGGCGCCATGGCCTCCGGGGACTACGCGGAGGCCAGCGCTGCGCTCACTGGCAGGACCGGGCCGCCGGGCCCCGCCGCCGCGTACCACAAGCAGGTGTCCCTGTCGCACGTCTAGGAGGAGAAGGAGGAGGAGGCCGAGGCGGAGGCCCGGCCCCCGCCCCTGCACCCGTGCTGGGAGTGGAGGGGGGGGGTTGTTTTGTTGGGTAGCTTGGCGAAGGTCACTTCCGTTTACCTTCTTGGTGCTGATGCCCCCTCCTGGGGGGGAGAGAGAGAGAGAGGGGGAGAGAGAGAGAGAGAGAGAGAGAGAGAGAGAGAGAGAGAGAGAGAGAGGGAGGGAGAGGAGGGGGAGGAGCAGGGGGAGGGGGAAGGGGACGGTTTCCAGGGTGGACCTGACCCGGTTCTTCTCAAAGGGGCTCAGCTCAGTCTTGTGTGTTCTAGTTTGCGTTCCTTTGCTACCTTCTTTAGAGGAACTCTGGTTTTAATTTATATGTATTTTAATTTTTTTTTGAAAAAAAAACTCTGTTGCATTTTTGGCAACAAAATTTACCTTTGCTTTGGGGGCTTTACCAAATCCTCAAGTTGGCATTGCGATGAGGTTACACTTGGTTCAGGTTTCTTTGAACTGCGTGATCTAAATTGGGAAAATCTATTTCCTATACATGTGTCTTTTAAAAAAAAATGTGAACAGAGTTTGGGCTGCTGTGAGTGAGATGGTGTGGAGTGTGTTTTTCAATTTTTTTTTCCTACCCCTGCTTAAAACTGTCCAATTTCCTTTATGGCAGCTTCCTGTTCCGAGTATCACCCCCTGCCCTCCCGTGCTTAAGGCCTCCCCAAGAGACAAGCTAAAGGAGCTCTCTGATTTTATGTGCTTCCTTTACTTGGTTGGGTAAGCCTAGATTCAAGTCCACAGTATGTTAATCATTTGCATTCCTAACGGAGGTAGAATGTAGGAAGCATCTAGGGTGTGGGGCATAAACATTTCTCATAGTGAGAAACTTAAGTGATGATAATTGGTTGATCTGAAGTACAGACCACCGAGATGGTGAACTTTGTGCTGGAGAGAGGGGTGGGAGGCTTTTAATAAGTTCCAGTCATCCCTTATTAATTAAATTTTTTTTAAGAACTTGTGCTACAGTTTTCTTGACCGTAAACCCAGTTACTTCTCTGGAAGGATTTAGAGTACCTCACCGAAGGTGGGCTCCCTATTCAAGGGACTCAAAAGTGGAAGCTACCAGCAATTAAAGAAAATTTCCACCACTTCTCTTATCTGCCCCCACACCCCACCTCCTTTATCATGTTAAACAGGCCTTTTGCTTTTCTTATTCCTCCTCTCCTGGAGAGCTGTGATTAGAAACCACACCCACCCTCGAATGAAGTGCTGGGACTGGGGGAGGGCGCCTGGCTACCTGTGGCCAAACATTAGTCTCAAGGAGGGAAAACAAGTGTCCCTGACTCTGGGCTAATTTTTAGCCTGGTGGAAGCAGCACTACAGTTCTCTTAGCAAGACAAACAAGACCCATAACATGCTTCTGGAAACTCGCAAGGATGGATCAATGTAACACTATCCCAAGAGGAAAGCCTCCTTTTTGTGCCCCTCCCCCCACAAGCACACACTGGGGACGCACACACACACTTTCACACACTTCTGTTTGCTTTCCTAATCTGTTTAAGCATTCACTTATGAAGAGTGAGGCCATTACTGAGAAGGGGGTGGCCTCCCATTGGCCAGCAAACATCAGTGGCCTGGACTGGGGACAAGATAGAGGAAGTTACAATAACAAACACAATGAACAATTATTTGGGAAAGCTTACTTAGGAAAAGAACTGGAATCTAAGCATTTCTGCTTCATTTGAATGGAAGTTGGGAAAGTAAAATTTAAGTCTAGGTCAGTTTTATGTCACACGTATTGAGTAGACAAATGGGGACTTTAAATACTTAGCTGGTAGAGAAACACTTCGATCTATAGTTTTAAAGTCACTCAATGGCTGTCCACATTTATAATAAGGCCAATGCACTGCCCTTACATACTTAACTGAACCCAAATTAAAATGTCAGTAGCTTTGACAAAACTCAGCACAGATAGCTAAAGAACTTTATTATACCTCTATTCATTCAGGTACCTTGCAGTAGAACCCCAGTCCAAACACCAGTTTCTCTCCTGTTTTTCCAAATGAAGGAAGACCCTTTCTGATCACCTTGACCTCTTCCTTCATTTACTGTGTCTTCCCAGAATATATGGTGTCAATCATTTGCCTAATTTGGGTTCTCCTCTCTTTCTGGAGGAATCCAGGCATGTGCAGTGCAGTTGAGACACGTAGGGTGAAGGAGATAAAAAGTTTTTCCTTCTTTCAAATTATTTTCTTTTTCATTTTAGCAACATGCCACATTGAAGTAAGTAAGAATGATTCGTTTACTGTACAGCAGTTATAACAAAGATGCTAAGTCAAGGGGAGACAATGTAGGAAATATTTGGCACTTGATTTTGTGTCTGTTCTTATCCCTGCTCCTCATGCCCCACCCCCTCATTCCCTGCAAGAGTTGAAGGTAAAAGCCACCTGCTTCCTTAGCTTGTACGTTTCCTCCTTTCCTCCCCTCCCTTTCCCAAGAGAGAGACACTGAATCTCTTCATAGCCACATCCTATTTTTACTTCTTTTCCTCAGCTTTACATTTTTGGTATGAAAACCCTCCATATTCGTGAAAAAATAAAGGCTTGTGGAGTAGTTCAGCAACCTCTTCATAACCCCCACCTTTTCCCCAAAGTTGGGGCGGGGGTGTGGTACCCAATTTTATCCCAGATATACAATTTTTGGGCTGTCTTCCTGCCCCCACTGTTGACTTTAATCAGAATCTCACTTCCTGGGTTAGGGAATAAGGATTTAGCTAGAAGACTGTAAAGGAACCAATGGGATCTCAGTGAATCAGCCAGATTGTAGGAAGTTTTTAAAGTTCATATTCTTTTCCCTCCTCACATTTGAAGTTGTCTAAATTGGCTGGAAACCATTTCTCTTGGTGCCTTATTGGTTTATTCTTAAAAACCTTTGTCATATTTTCCAAGACTTTTGCCAGTGACCAGGCCCTTATGTGTATGTGTTGTGTGTCATTGTGCGCATGGACCAGCTTAAATAATGTGCCGACAGCACTGTTGGAAAGTTGGTATTCATTAGGCTGTTCCCTCCTGGGCCAGGGCGACACTAATCTTGACATCGGCTGCCAGGAGAAAACCCATGGATCACACACAGAACCTTAATAACAGCATTTGTGACCTGTGCTCTCCAGTACAGAATGGGAACCCTAGAGCTAGGAAGCGCAGTTGTATATTTTAATGAACTGCTACCCCTGCTGAAGAAAGCTGCTTTCACTTTTGTGCTCCACAGAAAGACCCAGGGGGGGTAGGCGGGACAAAGCTTTGAATAAGTGCTTTCTAACACCAAATGTGGCAAGCAGGACAGAGCACATCACAAATCTAGGCAGGTGTGAGGTAGGGTGGCTAAGAATTGCCTGCTCCCTCTGCATGCATGCCCTTTCTTGTCTCCAAAGTCCAATCAAGTAATCCTAGGGAAGAAATATGCCTGAGTTGGGAAGCATGGATTTGAAAAAAAACAAAAAAAACAAAAAAACCTACCAAGACATGAAAGAAGGGTATGCAGGATATAAGTAACTAACCTGACTCAAAACTCTCAGAAGCTTCTAGCAGCTTGATGACAATTTCAGCATTTATTTCAGCCAGGATAATGTCTATCTGTGGTACATTCTTTTAGGACACTATCACAGCGTGTTGTTACAAATTGTATATATAGTATGTATGTTTTGTGGGTATGTATATACTTAATATATATATATTATATATTATATATATGAGAGATTTAGTGACTTTTGATACGGGTTTGGTGCAGGTGAGTTCATACTGAGCCAAATGAGGCACATACCGAGTCAGTAGATGGAGCCCAGGGCATTTAGTACTTTTTCTGATTTCTATACATGTATAGTGCCTATCCTGTCCATGTAGTCACTGTCATGCCAAATCTAGAACTCACAAGTCAAAGCCAGCAATATTTCCTTTGTAGACAATCAACTTGAATCTGTAGATGATTACTGGAAAATGATCATTGTAATTCTGAGTTCATAACAATAACAAAAGGAAACCCAGAGCATCTTAATGAGAGCTTGTTCTGTTGCTGGAAGTCAGTGGAGCAGCAATTGTATGTGGTCATGTTAGTCTCAAGACACTCAACTTGCTGACCTTATTTCAGAAAAAAATTATTTGTATGTATTCTATTTGTGGGAAGGTAACATACTGGTTTGAGATTTTTATCAGATATGAAGATTAGTTATTTATGAAAAACAAAGAAATGTCTATTTTTGTTTCTTTGTTCCCAATTAATGTAGATAACTTTTTAAAAATGCATTAAAGCAATGATGAAGAAAATAAAAAGCTGGTGTAGAAGTCTCTTTCTCCTTGCATCTATGGAGAATCACACTGCTATATGGTTATGTGAATTCTAACATGGTAATGATGTTGTTCAAATGTACAAGCAGCAACATTCTTTAGCAAAACCAAGCAAATTCAGTCACCCCAAACAAATAATGAAAACATGTTTTACTTGAATATATTTCCTGGGTTTCTCCTGATTCAGAGTTTCATTATTCACATGAAGAAGTGAAACAGAGATGGGGCCTGGTCATGTTGTATTTTATAAACTATTCATGTGTATACACTGTGCCTGTTTTGAATGGCAAAAGTGTGTGTTCTGGGTGTCCTGTTGGGGGAGCATGAACTCTTAAAACTTCATCACCCAGCAGTGGGATTCATAACTGGGTTCTAAATGCAACTTGAGTACAGAGGAAAGAGAACAAGTTGAATGGATCCCTGACTACTACTGCAATTACCTTCTACCAGTGGCAAAATGCAGATTAGCCTCCAATGCCTCTAGTTAATGTCTGGTGCATGTCAGTGTTCACCAGCAATGCTCTGAGACATTGCGGGAAAGTAGGTGGAAAACATGAATAATGAGTTGTAAATGTGGAGGGCACCAAGAGGTAACAGCATGAGCATGTAGTTCAATGTCAGCTTGAGTGCTGTGGACTTTATTAGGCAAGCACGTAAGTGTAAGCAGCTTGGAGCGCAGGTAGAACATGGCAGTTGAGCAGGATCCTGATTGAAGACCAGCCCGGCTTTCTGTGCACAAGACTCTCTAGCTGGCACAGCTCTCCCTTGCTTTTTCCTGGCTCATTTTCACCCAGTGGAAAAAGGAGGAAAGGGCAGTCACAAACTGGAGCAGAGCAACCTTTGAAGGTTGGAGAAGGGTGGACCCAGAATGGTAATATTGGCAGTCATGCTTCTTGTAAAGATTTAGTTACACAGCACTTCAGTTTGGCATGATGGAAACTAGGTTGAGGCGAATGGTGATGAATGGAGATTGCAGAGCCAGACTGACGAGAGATTCAAATCCTAGCTCTATGGTTTGTGAGTTGTCTTGGACAGATAACGTCCTAGAAGTTCATCTTTCTCATCTGTGAAGAGGTCATGATAGTATTACACATCTTTACCACATTCAGGTAAGCAAATCAAGGATGCAACAGCTGTGCAGGCATGGAATGGAAAGACTTTTAAAGGGAGTGGAAAGCTTTTAAACTTGAGTCTGCCTAAGATCACGTGGGGTTCTGTGAGAAATGTACATTCCTAAGGCCTCAGTCTCTGGAACTGAGATTTAGACAAATGTAATTTTTTTAAATCTAAAATTATTTTAACATTTAAGAAAGCTGCAAAAGCAATTCGGTTCTTGTGTGTCCTTTATCTATTTCCCCTAAGGCCAACATCAACACATGACACAGCTCCGAAGTTAGTGTTGGAACATTGCTGTTAACTGTAGACCACTAGGTTTGTTTTGAACAGTTTGGGGATCTAGTCTAGAGTACTATTGCATTTAGAGAGACTTTTGTGCTTCAGGTACTTTCAAGCTTTTAAGAAGCAGATGGTGCATTGGAGGCATGGCTCAGTTGGTAGAGCACTGGCCAATGAGCAAAAACAAAACTCAAAAAAAGTTTTGAGTCTCAGTCTAGGCCTTAAAAAAAAGGAAGGTAGCAATTTGAAAGCAGAAGGGGCTGGGAAGGTGGCTCAGTGGTAGAGCGCTTGCCTTGCATGCATGAGGGCCCTGAGTTCGATTCCTCAGCACCTCATAAGCAAAAAGAAAAAAGCCGGAAGTGGCGCTGTGGCTCAAGTGGTAGAGTGCTAGCCTTGAGCTGAAGAGCTGAGGGACAGCTCCCAGGCCCAGAATTCAGGCCCCATGACTGGACCCAAAAAAAAAATTAAAAAAAAAAAAAGCAGAAGGGAACAAATTTCTGATAAGGGAGATGGATGTAGGTTGATTTTCTTAAGAAATGGAGGGCTGGAAAGCAGCTTAGTGGTAAAGTGTCTGCCTAGCATGCATGAAGCCCTGGGTTTGATTCCTTAGTACCACATAAACCGAAAAAGCAGGAAGTGGAGCTTGGCTCAAGTGGTCAAGCGCTAACCTGGAGCAAAAGCAGCTCTGGGATAATGTCCAGGCCCAGAGTTCAAGCCCTAGCACTGGCAAAAAAAGAAAAAAAAAAATAGTCACTTCTATTAGATAAGAGAGTTATCTAAAAAAAAAAAAAAAGCAGCAGCAAAAGCCAGAAAGAATACTAGCTTTTGGAAGGAGGCTGCTCAGTTCTCTACCCAATGTGGGCAAGTGAGGGTAAGTGCCAAGGACAGTGAATTGGGAAACAGCACTTTAGAGAATACAGATGGGTTCCAACAGCAAAGGGAATTCCACGGGGCCAGCCAGCCTGTGAGCCACAGAACACCTGCATTTCCTTCAACTCGTGCTAACGCTTTGGATGCGAATCAAGTAACCAAGTCTTGTCATGTTGGACACTCGCTGAAGGTTGCAAGGGGAGGCAGAGATGGTCGGCAGCGGAACTGAGGCCCAGGAATTGGCATACTGAAGTCAGTTCTTACACTGAGGAGCCAGCAGTTTGGGGCCTCAGGCAAAGGCTTTCAGGAAGGTATGATGAAACTTTTTGGGTTGTGGGGCTTGAACTCAGGGATTGGGCACTGTCCCTGACCTCTTGCTCAAGGCTCTACAGACTACTTTGAGCTATAGCTTCATGTCTGGTTTTTGAGCGGTTAATTGGAGATAAGAGCTTCATGGAGACTTTTGTGCCGAGGCTGGCTTCGAACTGTGACCCTCACTCAGGTCTCAGCCTCCTGAGTAGCTAGGATTACAGGCCTGAACCACCAGCACCTGGCTGATGGAACTTTTTTTTTTTTTTAAAGAAAGGGTAGCTGGAAATTTTGGGTATCCTTCAAGATTGTCTTTTGAGTAGCTCTGGGTTTGAACTCAGGTCTCACACCTGGCTAAGCAGATAATCTACTACTTAAACTACTTTGACAGCCCTCTTTTGGCTGTTTTCCAGATAGGGTCTTCCTTTAAGCCTGGGCTGGCCTGGACAGCAATCCTATATTAAGAGCTCACCATGTCATTGGAATGACAGGCACATTCCACCACACCCAACCATTGGTTATCGTTGGTTATGATGTACTGTGAGCTTCCTCTTCCCAGGCTGGCCTCAGACCTTAATCCTCCTATCTCTGTCTCCCAAGTAAGCAAAGTTTAGACCTGAGACACTACACCAAATATTCCTGGTGTTTGAGGATCCTTTGGGAACTATCAATTTCCCCAGCCACATTCAAACCCTTCAAAATAGTTATAAAGTTAGGCAATTTGGACTTACAAATCTCACTTACTCTGTTCATGAGTTAAAATTTTTCTTTGGATTTAGTGTTTCTTAGTTTCTATACAGTATCACTGATTTGGCTGTTCTTCCTGCACCGGAGATCCTAAATCACGTGATGGGATTCCTAAGTACCTGGTCTCTGATTTCTCAAATCCATTTAAAGTAGTTCAGTGGAAATTGCCTTAGAAACCAAACAGATTGCTCCTGTGTACTGGGGGAACAGGTCTTATTGAAGGGCTTCTAGATCTTTTCTGTTGTTTGCAGGCACCATGTCAAGCCATCCAGGTTGTTAAGTGGCTGGCAGTTAGATAGGCTTCAGGTAATCTTATGCTCCACTTGTTGATGGATGCTAAGTACAACCCAGATTCTTCATAGAAACTAGCACTTTGCTGGAAATACATCTCTGCCAGCCATCAAGAGCTTTTCTAAGTAGTACTTTAAAAAAAAAATATGTAGCTTCCAGATGAGGACACAGGCCAGTCAGTCATTTTAGACATTGTGAGAGAAGAGACTCGGGTGATGAAAGTTTTTTGCTAGCCTGAATGCTGTACCTAGTTTCCCAAAACATTTCCTACCCTGAATACAGAAAGAAGACTGTTGTCTAATTGATGTTGGCTTTGGCTTGTTTGAAACAAGAAATATTGTACTTAAGCAGAAAACTAAAGCAAGTTGAGCTGTTGAACTGCTATAAAACCAAGGAGTCAGTTCTGTTAAGAATTCAGTAACTTGGACATACAGAGCTACAAAGGACAAGCCAGAAAAAAATTTCTCCTTAACCACAAGCATTCAGCCCCAAGTTTTTTTTTTTGGGGGGGGGGTCCGGTCGTGGGGCCTGAACTCTGGGCCTGAGCGCTGTCCCTCAGCTCTTCAGCTCAAGGCTAGCACTCTACCACTTGAGCCACAGCGCTACTTCCGGCTTTTTTCTTTTTGTTTATGTGGTGCTGAGGAATCAAACCCAGGGTCTCAGGCATGCAAGGCAAGCGCTCTACCACTGAGCCACTTCCCAGCCCCAGCCCCAAGTTTTTGTGTCAGGATAAATCACATGGAATTACTGACAACCAACCACTTTTTGACCTGCAAACACAGTTTCAGTGGCTTCAAACATTTCAGCTTATTGCTTTTTCCCTTGTAATGAAAACAATGAAGTTCAGTTCACAATATGCCAGCTAAAATTTGAGAAACCTAATGAGTAAAATTCAGCCCAAACAAATCCCTCCAAAACCCAAAACTTAAAATCCATGTGTCCAGACAGCCATTCCATTTTAAATCTATTTTTTTTCCAAGTTACTGACCGTGGGAAAATGCCAGGTTACCACCAACTAGTAACTTGCATTTCTATGCCCTCAATAACATTTGCCAGAGAACGTACCCACTTGCTATGGCATTTATATTCTCAACTTGAGGAACTAGTTGCCTAGTTAGTAAAGTGATTGTATTGCTCCAGTGTTAAGGCCAAAAGAACAATTCTTAGTGATAATTCTGCCAGCTTGTTCCTGTCCAGTGCCCCTCTCCCAAATCTTTTAACTTTCTAAAACTTTAGCCATTCATTTAGCATTTTGCAAGTTATAGGGTACAGATTATCTTATAAATTTAGTCCATTTATCCTAGTCAGCAATAAAATTTATCAAGAACAGACGAGTTGGTCATTGAAAAAAACTGATGTTAGGTACTGAAAAAGTACTGCTATGGCTGAACGACTTGGCTCTTTATAAAGTTTACAGTATATTTTTAATTGAATTATAAACTTGAACACAGATGTAAGTCAAATCTTGTAGCTTGTGGCCCCAATCTCCCCTACTTCTTTCTGCTCCTGTCATTCTTTTCTTTTGGTATACTTTACCTAATTTTATCTTCCAATGTATGTTTCTTCCTCTCAGGAATAATAATGAACATCACAGCGCCATCTAAGGCACTATGCTACAAAGTACTGTTTCCAGACAGTGATTCTGAGTACTAATTATCTTTGGGTGGAAAAGTGCTAAAGCAAAAGAAATCAATTATTACACCGTAACCAGAGGCATGATCAAAGCTGCTTTCATAGTCAGTTAAAACCTATTGGGACATTTAAGTTTTGGAGAGATGTAATGCTATATGAATCACGTTAAAAACACACTAGCCACATTTTAATTAAAATAGAATTTATTAGCTTTTCTTTTAATATAAACATGAGAAAGAAAAACCACATTAAGTTGTAGTATTCTTTTCAAAATAAAACTGCAATCAATACTTGAATCTCCAAGCTCTGAACTCCATAAACAATGGTTATTTTTTTGAGGTGGTAGATTGTAATATTTCACACGTCATTAGTGATCATTTGTGGCTGTCCTTTAAGATGATGGTATTTGTAGCATTCAATACCCTGTGAAGCACTGCTGTACTGAGAGAAAAGTATTCTTGGCCAGAAAGGCTTGGTTTACAGGCAAGATTCCTTAGATTACACTTGAGAAGACAGATTTCACATAGTTGAGAAAACTGTTTTTCTTCACTATTTCAAATTTAAGCGGCACTTTGGTCAATCTAAAATTATTCCTTGCCCTTTTTTAAAGTAAGGGGTACTTAAGGTCCCTTTAAGTTCCCTCTTAAAAAGGACTTGAATGGGACCCAGAGTCAGGTTAACACAGAGATTTAAAACAAAAACAAAAAAAAATTTCCAGTTCACTTGCCGCTATAGGGGTCCAACTCCTTTTCACTTACTACATTTCCTCTAAATCTAGAGGAAAGAGGTTTAGGTGACCAAAGCATATGGAGTCATCCTATAAAGAACTATTTTCAAAACAGGCAGGTACTTCTACAGACACACAAAGTAGCCCAAAAACCTGAATGGAATTCTGAGCCTTGATGGCTGTTGAAAGTGCGCTACACACTTAGAAAACATCATTTGGAAGTTAAGTCACATGACTTTGGTTTTGCAAATTTGGAATCTTAGGCCTTAATTTATTTCAGACAAATGTTTGCCATCTTCAAGTGGCTCTAGAAGGTATTTGCAAAATTGAAACTTGGAAATGATGTTTTGTTCACGTTGCAGCTTCTGCCCTCCTGCGGTGCCTGCAGAACCCCAGCACCGGAGCCGAAGCGTCAGACTGCGCCACAGCTTTCGGCACAACTGCTGTCACTGGACAACTATGTTGGTTGGCATTATGAAAATATCCTTTAATACACTTCAACAAATAAGAGGAAACTTATCAGAAAATAAGAAGCACCATTAATAATTCACAAAAAATACACTGTAGACCCAACAGAAGCGTTTTTTTTTTATGACCCCAATCATGCCAAAATGGTAGTAAGTAGTGCTCGCAAAGAATATGAATGGCAAGTGTTATCCAGCAGCTTTTTGGTTTAAATTGATTGCCAATAATGACTAGCAGCTTTAATGGTACAGTAGGAAGAGTCTTCAATACCAAACAATGCTACAATCTTCTCCTAAGTGGTTTCATGGGTGTTCAAAGTCCTATGTTTGGGGCTGGGCTCAGTGGTTGAGAACTTGCCTAGCATGTATGTGCTAGACCCATCGATGATTCCCAGCCTAGATGGATACCGGCAGGTATATGTGTGTGTGTGTCCTATGTTGAAATGGTAATACTGCATCAATTCTGAAGGCATTTGCAGCAATATGGGGGAGAGGAGCAGAAACAATTTAAAAAATGAATGTTATGTGGTTAGTGTTTTTAGAGTCTAAAAATTTAAACTACTAATTTTAAAAAAACCTCACAAAGTTCACAGCTATTAGCCTACACAGTAAGCAAATAACTGTGTGTGGGTTTGGAGCTTTGCTTTGGAGTGGTTTTTGTAACTCTGTTTACATTAAAGAGGACAGTAATTGTGTATTGTTGCTTTGACAAGGTCCCATTCTTCCCTAGCAAGTGCAAGTGTATTGTTCATGTCTTGAATTTGAGGTCTCTCCTTTCGGTTAGAACACTAACTTTGCTGGTTTCGAGCAGGAGAGGTGATATTTCTCCAGTCTTTGTAGATGAGGAGTGCATGATGTTACCACCGGTCATTTCTCCATCTTAAGAGAGTATGGCATTAGAGCGCTGAATACCAATGAAATTGTCAGCGCTGAAAGACCTCCTCATAGCAGCTTTACATAAGTCTTTGTATTTGTCTTCACATAATCTTGAAATGGCCTAGAAAGTCAATCAAACAGAAGAACACAGGTAGAATTAAAAAAAAAATATTCCAATGTTAAACGTGAAACAAAAGAATACCACTGATGTTAAGTCATAACTTTGAGCCTTGTAAGTGTTAGGTTCTTCTGGGTTGTTCTTTCCTGCCAGTTCACTAAGGTAACATCATTTAAGGGTTATGATTATTGGGAAATGAGAGTTTTACGACGTTACGTAAAAATTAACTTTCCAAAGATGTCAAAGGTATCGTGATAGGCTCCTATCAGCAATATCCTCAGGTTGCCTGAGTGACTGTTCCTTTGACAACACCCATATACCCGTGTGGAGCAGTCGTGCTTACTCATCGATTCAAATTCTATTCAACCTCCATTAGATATTATAAACTCTAAACAAATTTCAGTGAAGTAGGCATGTGCTGTAGTAGAGGGAAAGACAGGGAACTAATGACCAAAGCATCATAAGGTGCTACTTTACTTACAAGTTAATTATGGTAGAAAACATTACTCTAAAGTTCCACCAGCATGTCACAGAAAGCCCATTTTAAAGTATGTCATAAGCCATACATATTACTTTGCTCCATGTAACTTATCACTTTCATAAACCTATGTTTTTCTACATTCAGTATTTCAAACACAAACACACATTATATAAATCTTAATGATAGGTCTTCTCAGCCATTAATAAACTTAAAAAGTTGAACTGTGATATCTACACACCAACATAATTTTACCAACTGAGTAAAAAGCAGTCAAAAGTAAGTGAATTATGTATGCAGATATTATTAGGGATACAACTGCAAGAAATTATTCATATATGATTGTGTGGAAAGGTAGAGATTCCAAAGGAACCATGAAGAACAGATTTGATATTAAATTTGATAAAATATCCTGAATTAGGATCACAGGAGATAAGATCCATCTATAATTTTTAAAAAATGTGGATTCTGATATAAACCATAAAAGACTAAAAAAATATAATGCCAAAGGGTCACTAAGCTCTTCAGTGCGTTTACCGTAAAGCTTTCCATTTCCCTAATCACTACTCAATAAGATTTGGACACAAATGGTGGTTTTGGTGGTTCACAGAAAACCCACTTAGTGAATGAACAGCTTTACCTCTAAGTTCTGTGCTCTTTCTTTGCTGAGAGGAGAAAAGAGAAAGTTCAGGTTGTTATCATCTGCTAAGGAGCGAAGGTCAAAGTAGTATTTGGCATAAACACTGGCAGGAACATTAATATTGAACTGGAGTAGCTCCAAGAAATGCCTTTCCATCTCATTCCTGGGGGAGGAGGAACACAACAAAACCAATACAGGACAATTTTAGTCAACTGGGCTATCTTCAAAAATATCCTTCTAAGCTGCTAAGATGGCTCTAAATTTTGTTTTGAAACAAATAAAGGCTACCCAGCTGGATTAATACACTAATGTTCAAACAAGGTACAGCTATTTGTGGTTCTCTCTGCATCCCAGCACTCTGAGTTGGGCTGAGGGGAAAAGGTTACGGCCCTCTCATGCACTCATGCTGCTGACTCGGGGGCTCATTCTTCAGAGTTCCATTAGTGCAGCTGTACGATTCATACTCCACGCTCACTCACAAGGCCCCACTATAGTGAGCAGATGAAAGGAATGATGTATGCTGTTTATTAGCTCTGAAGAACTTGCAGACATTTTCACCAGGCTGATAACAGGAAGGGGCTTATTGAAGTAGAGAAGCGCCAACAAAAGGAGTGGGCACATCACCACGGCAACAAATGGATCCATCGAGAGCCACGCTATTATCTCTGAGGGGGAAACTCTTGAGGCAACAAGGATTCATCTCAAACAAATAAATAAATAAATAAGCCACACTGGATGGGAAAGGAAATCCTTCCCCGTCCCAGCCCATGAGGGTATGTCAAAGGGCATAATGCAAGTTTCTGCACACCTTAATATTACTAAGGTGAGAAATTGTCACTGTGACAGGCAAGATACTCATTTTAAATCTGTGGAAGGCAGAAAGATCAAAGACAGATATCTTCGCCACACTAAACCCACTTTAGGATATGACCTCTGGTAGAGCACCGGACTTACAAACTGTTTCTCTACTGGGAATGAAACACTGAAACACCATCCCTGGCCAGAAGAGAATGTGCACACATAGGGGCACGTGGAACTCAGGGGGAAGGGGAAGGCCCTGAGCAGTCTGCTGCTACACGACCATACAAACAACTAGTTGCATGAGGTGTACGCCAAGAAATATAAAGCTAGAATAAACCTGATCTCTGCCACAGTAATCTCTGCAGAAACTGTATAAAATGATAGATACTTGGAACATGTAAGAAGCCAATTTTACAACATATTTGGTTTAAAAGTTTTAATATTTTCTTCACTGATTACATCGAACAATGCTTGATGTTCTGTGTGGAGAGCAGGCAGAATATCAGCAGAGCTATGGTCTTTTTCATTTGCTGAAATTAAAATCAAACCGCCTACTTCCAAAATTAATTTCCTGTTCATATGGCAGTACATCTATAGAAATGTAAATCAGATAATGTTTTGATAATCAGCTAATCAGGACTTAATTTACTACAGGGATAAATGTACTTCACTATCCCTTTTGTATTTTCTTCCCTAATACATTTTAACTATGTAGACATACAGTACTTCATGAGATTAACATGTCTATTGATAAGAGGTTTAATCACTGAAGAAAAGCATGATGCCTACAGAATATGCACCTTTTTTAGGGGTTTTGTTGTTGTTGTTTTAATGGTTGAATAGCTTACCATTTGCAGGCCCAGCAAATTTTCTGAATAGCAGCTGCTCAATTTACCTTATTCCTTTGAAGGGAAATATATTCTAGCAAGACTTAGATGGTCGAAAGTTTTAGGAAATATCTGACTCAAAATGAGCCCATTACAAATAGCTAGCAGCAGGGGGACAAGACAAATGTATATTAAACACTTGGTTGTAAAGCTTTCAATTTCCAAAGATCATAAACAAAAGCCGCCTGTTAGGAACATGGCTCCTGGTGTTTCTCTGTTCATACACAGAAAGCATGGTAAGAAATGGTGTCACAGCTCGCCTTTGCCCCTGGAGCTCACATTTGTGGAAACAGACACATTTCCCTGCATCTTCTCAGATCTTACAAAGAGAACTAGCACCCCCAGCAGCTTAGTTGCATGTTTTTGGAGAATTTCAGCTAACATCCTGGCAGAGCTAGTGTTCCTAACTGCAAATTTTTTTCAAGGGACTACTTTGCAGCCTGAAGACAATAGTGATTAAGGTTACTTTAGCTCCTGCAACTTCCAAAAGTGCTTCCATTTGTTCAGATTCCACTGTCACATCCTTTGCTCAAATGGCTGGTGGCAATACCACCACAGCCACTCAGTTTACACTGTTATCAAATCAAAGTTTTTTGCCAAAAACTACTTCAACTATTACCAACAACTGTAATGTTAAAAGTAAATACAGTTGATAATTCTGAATGATTGTCTTTTTTCTTTTTGTCAGTTGTGAGGCTTGAACTCAGGGCCTAGGTGTTATCCCTCAGCTTTTTCAATCAAGACTAGTGCTCTATCACTTTGAGCAACAGCACCCCTTGTTTTCTGGTAGCTAATTGGAGATATGAATCTCAAGGACTTTCCCGCCCAGGCTGGCTTCGAACCGCGATCCTCAGATCTCAGCCTCCTGAGTGGCTAGGATGCCAGGGGTGAGCCACTCGTGCCAGTCTAAGGGTTCATCTTATCTAGAGCATAAACAAAGTAAATGAGATCTTCCTGTGACACTCGATATAATCAGCAATTCCACCAGCACAAAGACATGTTCATGGTCAGGCAGACACTGAGAATCTGTTGGAAATATCTCCCTAAGTTCATCCTACCAACTTCAGGGCCCTGTAGTCAGAGTGGCCACTGTGAAGCCCGAGTGACCATCTCCCTGCATTCTTGTGGTTACCTAGGACACAAATAGTGATGGTGTGGCTGGCTGAGGGCTGAATGTGATGAGTTCCGGGTGAAGTCCCGGCAATGCTTCTCAAGACTGCCTGAGGTGAATCCTGGAGCTCCCTAGACCTTCACACCAATCGCTACTCTGAAGGCATACAACACTTTATGGGGAGGAGACAGGACACACATCTGACACCTTTACTCTTTTATCTCAGTTTCTGTAACAGATGCTCAGAAAAAAAGGAGGGAAAAGACCAGCAAAAATAAATACAAAAAGTATGACTCAGGTTAAAGCTATAACCTTTCAAAATTCCAGAAACCCTAAGGCCTTAACAGTGGCCAGAGTTATTTCAAAAGCCAGACACGTGCCCCTCGGGAGATGGGAAGAAACAGCCTTGAAAAAGCTATAAAAATATGTACTATTCTATGTTGTTCCAGTAATAGGTCTGGCCCAAACCACTGAAAACAGATTTTCAACTTATCCAATAGATTATAGTAGCACAATGAGGCCTACCAATTGATGATGGAAAATATTGTTACGTGGCTGGACAAAAAGGACGTTAAGTTTTATTCCTATTTCCATTATCTATGTGACGTAACTTTTAAATACTTCTTAAAATGTAAACTATGGGAGCAAATCAAATAACTGGAAAAATGGTTAGAAAGTTCACCAAAACCTTACAACTCACATGTCCTCAACTGTAATGTCCTTGAGGATCTGGCAGTAGTCCACATTCCATACAGCCTGATCGTCCCAAACCTTGGAGGCAAGAAGAATGGCTCCCAAAACAATTCTTTTCCAGTTAGTGGGACAAATGTCGATCTCAGCATAAGTTAAAAGCCTTTCTAAGTAAACCTGCAAAAGTAGAGCACTGGTCTTTGATTTTAGTTCACTTTAAGTGCTGTGTTAAGAACCGTTACGAATGATAGATTTCTTCAGTGTTTAACTAGAAGGTGCCTTTTATTATTTTTAGTTCTACAGAGACTTGGCCAAGGCTAGATTACAGCTGTAAGTCAGACACCTCTTTTGTCTACTCCGCCCAGTAAATTCCCAGCCCAATTTTGGTCACGGGAATGACAGGCGATCCTGAAGAACAGCACCATTATCACCTTCTCACTCATAAAAGGCCCGATGTAGATTAAAGTTGTTGAATAAATTCTGATTCCTCCCATGTGCAATGGACCATTTCCTGGCTGGCAGTTTTACATTGACTTTGCTTGAATATGTAAAGCCCAAGTCACAGTGAGCACAAGTGGATCTCTTCCTTTTTACAATGACTAACTTGGTGTGTGGTGCTGGTTCCAATGACATCTGGTGGACAACAGAGCCTCCCAGTGGCTGCTGAGCAGAGCAGCACGACACGGGTACAAAGGGACACAGCCTCTTCTGCTATCATTTCATGAGAGTTCATGTTAGCTCTTACAGTAATTGTAATTTAGTTAATTCTGTTGGCTTTAAGGTGCTACTGTCAGTCTCTGTATTCCTGGGACTCAAAAACAAGCCAAGAAGTTTGTGAGATGGTCTCATAACTTCTATCTATCTATCTATCTATCTATCTATCTATCTATCTATCTATCTATCTATCTATCTACCTATCTATCTATCTACCTACCTATCTATCGCTCATCTATCAATCATCTCTCTTAAAAAGAACTGGCTAAAGCTTAACATGATAAAGATTATGGAAGAAGCTGTGATTTGTTGTTACTCAAAGTGTACTCTGCACATGAGCATACTGTCATCCCTCAGCATCCATGTGAAATTGGTTCTAGGATCAAGTCTGGTTAGTAAAACTTGCAGACGCCCACATTCCTTATATAAAATGGCACAATGTTGGCATATAACCTATATTCACCACCCTGAATACGCTAAATAATCTCTAAGTACAATACCAAATATAATGTAAGCTCTATGCAAACAGTCACACTGTTTAGGGAATGACAAGAAAAGGAATCTTATCTCTTATCTGCAGACTTTCAATCTACAGTTGGTAGAACTCACAGCTGCAAAGCTCACAAATACAAGACTAGGCTGCATGTGCCACTTGAACTCTTTGTATTGAAGGAAAAAAGAAAAAGAACCACTCTTTAAAGTATATTTTGTCTGTAGGTTATCAGACTGACAGCTTTTTGCAACATCCTCCAAAATGTTTTCAAAAATAGATTTATACATTTTTAATGAGATTCTCTTCCCTTCCCAAACTCACTTTCAATTATCTGAAGAATGAGCCTTTCCCACCAGGTACAACTCTCTTCTTTACAGAAATAGAGAGCTCACTTCTTTACTGATAAGCTTGTTATGTGTGGATCACAGCTGTTTACCATGCGTCCTCCGTGTGAGTGGAGGAGGAGGTTTCCTTCCCTCTGCAAGCATCTCTTTAGTGCAGAGGACCCCAGCCCACTATGCTCAACAGTGTTCCCGTGATGAACTCCTTCTGAAGGCTTTCTCCTGCTCTGCCACAGTTCCTCCAGTGTGCCTGTTCATACTGTCCCCCACACCTCCTCGAATGCTTCCTCCTTGCTCACCGTAATTGCCAGCTCCCACCTCCTGTTCTCTCCTTAGCCCACTTTTCATCTGCCCCTTCGGGGGCTATCACTTTCCTGACACTGCTCCCGCCAAGCTCACGGATGCTTCCCTCCCTTATAAACCAGAGCTCTTCATTCCAACTTGCCACTCCTCCCGAATATTGCAAACTTGCCCAATTGTTGGGGTCAGTCTGTTAGCAACACCTGACACTGCTGCCTTCATTGGTAATTTGACTGCTTTCTATTCCTGAACTTACTGCTTGTCTGAATCACTGTGTGGTCTCCTAACTCTCCCCCTCCTCTCTGCCCTTCCTCTCACCCTCAATTATAGTCGACTCTCCCCCCAAAACAGTTAAGACTCAAATGATCATCACTTTATTCCTTGCTCAAAATTACTCACCAACCTGGTACTTAACTTTCCCCCTAAGCTATGAGGCCATGAACAGTTAGCTACCATTGTAACTTTATCTCCATGGTCATCCATGGTCATCACTGAGCCTGAGAAACACATCCTTGCTTTTCAGTCTTAGCACGTCTTACAGCCCCTAACATCTAGGTTTCTTGGCTCCCTCACTTCAATCAGGTGACTGTTCAAATGTCATCGGAGGGTCTTCCAGATCATTCTATCCAAAACAGAAAGCTCTCTAGTCACTCTTCAGCCCTTTGCTCTGTTCTATCTTCTCAGCATTTGCTACTACCTGGACTATGCAAATACCTGAAGAAATGCTCACTGTTCTCCTACCAGAATGCAAGCTAGTAAAGGGCAAGAACTTTTTTTTTTTGGGGGGGGGGTTCTGGTCATGGGGCCTGAATTCTGGGCCTGGGCACTGTCCCTCAGCTCTTCAGCTCAAGGCTAGCACTCTACCACTTGAGCCACAGCACCAACTGCTGGCTTTTTTTTTCTTTTTGCTTATGTGGTGCTGAGGAATCGAACCCAGGGCCTCATGCATGCAAGGCAAGCGCTCTACCACTGAGCCACCTTGCCAGCCCCAGGACAAGAACTCTGCTCAACCTGCTTTCTCACCTGCCTCAATACTGTGGAGCAGCTACCAGAGAGTATGCGCGTGGGCCCCCTGGCAGCACACAGCATGGGCCCACACCTTCTCATCTTACTTTCTCTATTTTAACTCCCCCTTTTTTTCTTCTTTCTGGTTCTCCTTATGCTCTAGCTGCTCTCTGGAGAGCTGTCCCTTAAAGGCTGATCTAGAAGACTTTCTGCCCACTTTCTTTTTTTGTATATTTCCTTAAAAATTTGTATCTTGGCTTAGGTTTCATATACTCAAATGATCACACGTCACCACTCTGCTCTCTCACAGGAACATCAGCTTACTCTGTCTATGTGAACTTGCCTTCCAATCCAGCTCTCCTCCCCGCATTACCTACCTCTACACATGGAAGTGCCCAGTAGGGCATTCCACTCAAGGACAAAGAACACAAGTACAAATGCTAGAGGACAGGCACTGATAAAAAAGGTCATTTTCTCTCAAGGCCATGACATTTACTTTCCACTACAAATTTGCTAGAGGGAAATCTCAATCACTCTAAGAATTCTGTATGGAAATGACATAAAGGACACAGCTACAGCTTAGCAGGTTAACAAAACCTTTCTAAGAACTCCTGATATAGTAATCTTAAGTAACTAGGGGAAGACACAAGAGGAGAGCAGGGATGGATTAACACCGATCATCTAAAGATCAAAGAATGTAGGGCAATAACTCTCTATCAGGACACACACATCAGAACTGCCTGGGGAAGACAGTCTAGAATACGGTTTAGACCTACCATGCAACACGTCTCTGTGGCCCACAAGGCTTTGTTATTTGCTCCTAAACCGTCTCCCATCAGGATGCCCTGTGTGTGTATGCTATTCATATACACGTGTTTACATGCAGACGGAGTAGAAATCTCCCAACTGCCTTTAATAGCAATTAGTTTTTGATGAAAAAAGTTCTGATGATAATTTCAGGAAACTACTTTTCTCACAACTATAGGAACCTACTATACATACTACTCTGTGTACAAGACCAATCTGTAAAGACAATTAATAAGAAATATCTTACCAAAGTTACAATTGCACATTCAGCTGTTAGCTGTGCAGCACTAAAAAGAGTACGAACAAATCTGTAAATAAATTTGTGTTCAGGGTCATGTTTAAAGTATTCCTCTGGAACCTTCTCTCGCTGAAAGAAAACAAAACGCAATATTAAGTAAATCCATTGAAAATAGCAGTTTTCACTTTGTGCCCACTTGTTCCTTAAGGATAATTTCAATTGGGTGATATGCTTTTGTCTTTTAAATATAAAAAGAGCGGCTCTTACAGTTACATTGTGCATAAGGCATGACATTCAGTCAATAACAGACCATATACCTAACAGTATAGTATCTGATCACACTATAGTCATCTTAGTTTGTGTACTCTTAACATGTTTGCAGTATGACATTTTTAGATGCAGAATGCACATCTCAGAATGTACTTTTCATTGTTGTTAAGCAATACATGACTGTACCACAATTACTCAATATGCCTGCCCCATCATTTATTTAAAAAATGCAGGCATGGAAGTGGCGCTGTAGCTCAAGTAGTAGAGTGTTCGCCTTGAGCTGGAGAGCTGAGGGACCACGCCCAGGCCCAGAGTTCAAGCCCCACGACTGACCAAAAAAAAAAAAAAAGAAAGTAGCAGTCTGTTAGAATAAAGGGACTTATTTAATAAAAAAATGCAGGCATGGGTCTGGGAAGGTGGCTCAGTGGTAAGAGTGCTTGCCTTGCATGCATGAGGACCTGGGTTCAATTCCTCAGCACCACATAAGCAGAAAAAGCCGGAAATGGCGCTGTGGCTCAAGTGGTAGAGTGCTAGCCTTGAGCTGAAGAGCTGAGGGGCAGCGCCCAGGCCCAGTTTAGCCCCCATGACGGACCAAAAAAAAAAAATTGCAGGCATGTCAGAGGCCCTGAGTGGCACTTCATACCTCTAGTCCTAGGTACTCAGGAGGTAAGACTCATCTCTGTGTGTGTGTGTGCACGCGTGTGTGCACATGCATGCACATATGTGCCCGCCAGTCCTGGGGCTTGAACTCAGGGCCTGGGTAATACCCCTAAGCTTCTTTTGCTCAAAGCTAGACCTCAACCACTTGAGCCACAGTGCTACTGCTAGTTTTTTCTGAGTAGTTTTTTGAAGATAAGAGTCTCATGGCCTTTCCTGCCTGAACTGGCTTTGAACTACAAATCCTCAGATGTCAGGTTTCTGAGTAGCTGGGTTTACAGGCATGAGCCACCAGCCCGTGGCATTATTGCAAGACTCTTTTCTTCAATTAACTAGCAAAAAGGCAGAAAGGGAGTAGTGGTTCAAGTGGTAGAGCATCAGCTTTGGGAGAAAAAAAAAGCTGAGAAATTGCTCAAACCCCTTAATTCAAGCCCTTGTACTGGCACAAAGAAAACAAAAAAATGCAGGCACAAGTCCAAAACATTTTAAGTTCCCATTCTCTCCATAAAATCTTATCTAACTCTATTTTTAGGCTGAGAAGTTTTAGTGATCAGGTGTGATACTCTAGTAAGTGTTGAAAAACATTTTTAGTTTCCAGTAGCGGCAGGTCCTTGGGCTACAAAGTACAGTTCAGTAGTCAGCAGCCACATGTGGCTACACAGCACAGTTCAGTAGTCATCAACCACATGTGGCTACACAGTACAGTTCAGTAGTCAGCAGCCACATGTGGCTACACAGTACAGTTCAGTAGTCATCAGCCACATGTGGCTACACAGTACAGCTCAGTAGTCAGCAGCCACATGTAGCTACACAGTACAGCTCAGTAGTCAACAGCCACATGTGGCTACACAGTACAGTTCAGTAGTCATCAGCCACATGTGGCTACACAGTACAGTTCAGTAGTCAGCAGCCACATGTGGCTACACAGTACAGTTCAGTAGTCATCAGCCACATGTGGCTACACATTATAGTTCAGTAGTCAGCAGCCACATGTGGCTACACAGTACAGTTCAGTAGTCAGCAGCCACATGTGGCTACACAGTACAGTTCAGTAGTCAGCAGCCACATGTGGCTACACAGTACAGCTCAGTAGTCATCAGCCACATGTGGCTACACAGTACAATTCAGTAGTCATCAGCCACATGTGGCTACACAGTACAGTTCAGTAGTCATCAGCCACATGTGGCTGTTGAGCATCTGAAACTGGCTGCTATGTGCCTGAAAAAAATACCTGTATTTTATTTACTTATTGATGTCTTGGTTTTGGGCCATTCTCCCAACTTGACCTAGGTATTGGGATTATAGGTAGGTACTACACCATATATAGTGTACAGTTGTTGGATTAACAAATATTTGTATTGTTTGGTGCTTTAAAATTATATTTTGAAGGGCTGGGAAGGTAGCTCAGTGGTAGAGTGCCTGCCATGCATGCATGAGGCCCTGTGTTCGATTCCTCAGCACCGCATAACCAGAAAAAGCCAAAGTGGCACTATGGCTCAAGTGGAAGAATGCTAGCTTTGAGCTGAAGAGCTGAGGGACAGCACCCAGGCCCAGAGTTCAGGTACCAAGATCGACAGGAAAAACAAACAAAAAAAATTATATTCTGAAAAGCTATTTTCTGTTATTGGATAGTACATTTTACTCACCTTTGTTCACTAAACAAGAGTCAAAAGTCATTTCTTATGTCTATTACAGTTCTGATACATCACCTCTCTCCTAAGATGACTAGATACAACTTGAAAAAGGAAAGATTTCAAGCTGGAGTGATTTTTCTTCAATAATAAATGTAGATGCAAATCACTATGAAATAAAGATAACTTGACAAGAGAAAAATAACACTTGAAAGAGAGTGCCTATGGGCTGGGAAGGTGGCTCAGTGGTAGAGCGCTTGCCTTGCATGCATGAGGCCCTGGGTTCGATTCCTCAGCACCGCATAAGCAAAAAGAAAAAAGCCGGAAGTGGTGCTGTGGCTCAAGTGGTAGAGCGCTAGCCTTGAGCTGAAGAGTTGAGGGACAGCGCCCAGGCCCAGAGTCCAGGCCCCACGACTGGACCACCCCCCCCAAAAAAAAGAAAGAGAGTGCCTACTTACTGTGAGTGGATGTGATCTCTCATCAAAAATATCCAGGGATCTATTTGCATCTCTGTAAAATAAAAATGTACATTTAAAAAGTAACACAGGAAGTGTTAGTATTTTAGTAAAAATATCTGCTTAGAGAAAGTGTTGAAAAGAGAAGCTTAATTTTGACCAAAGCAAACAGCTTACAAATTCTCTGGGATTCTGGCCTTAAAACTTCTCTATTCAGCACATCAAGTTTTGTGTCTTTTCTATGATGACTAGCTAACGTTATCCATAAGGAGCAACTCTTCAAAAAAAGCAGTGCTAATATACCACACACATTTCTGCCTCTCATGTAAAATGATAGTGGCAAGTAATCAAGACTTTAGAACTGTAATGAATGAAGTTTGACATTTTCCCATAGTTTCTTCCCTCAGTTCTATTATATTTTTATCATATATTTCTTATTTCTTCTAGTTTGAGTTAAAAACTTAGCTGTCTTTTTACTTTAAAAGAGACTAATCTTGTCAGGCGCCGGTGGCTCATGCTTATAATCCTAGTTATTCAGCAGGCTGGTATCTGAGGATCACAGTTCAAAGCCAGCCCAGGCAGCAATGACCATGAGACTCTTATCTCCAATTAACCACTAAAAAACTGCAAGTGGTGATGTGTCTCAAGTGGTAGAATACTAGCCTTGAGCCTGAGGAGCTGAGGGACTATGCCCAAGCCGAGTTCAAGCCCTAAAACCGACAAAAAACAAACAAGAACTAGTTTTAGCTGGGAGCCAGTGGCTCATGCCTGTAATTCTTCCTACTCAGTAGGTTGAGATCTGAGGATTGTGGTTCAAAGCTAGCCAGGGCAGGAAAGCCTGTGGGACTCTTATCTCAGAAAAAGCTGGAAGTGGTCCTGTGCTCAAGTAGTAGAGCACTAGTCCTACGACTGAAATAAAAAAGGGGGGGAGGCGCACGCAGGGAGACCAGTCTTTTCATTTACAAGCTCATCTTCATTATTGTGCTCATTTATTCCAGGGGTTCTCTCTGATCAGGGCATCTCAATAGTCCCCTGGGCAAGTCCACAAGGGCAAGGATGTTCTTATTTTTTTTGTCCGTTGTGGGGCCTGAACTCTGGGCCTGGGCGCTGTCCCTCATCTCCTCAGCTCAAGGCTAGCGCTCTACCTCTTGAGCCACAGCACCACTTCTGGTTTTTTCTGCTTATGTGGTGCTAAGGAATGGAACCCAGGGCCTCATGCATGCAAGGCAAACACTCTACCACTAAGCCACCTTCCCAGCCCGCAGGGCTGCTCTTATAAGAATATAAAGATGTTACCCACATTTGTACTGTTGGAACATTTGTAATGACTGTATAAAAGCAAAAGTGGTAAAATGCTTGATTTCTCAGCATGAATCAAGGCTGTGGTACCAATATGTCAGTCCATTCACCAGTGTCATTTGCTATTTAAAAAAGCCTGCTTCACTTAAGCATATCTTCAAAGTAGTTAAAAACTACTTAATATTCCAAATGAGGAACTGGAAAGTTCACACGTAGGACTTGTGTGTCCTGAAGTATAACTTAAGGAAAAGCACTGTGATTTAATTCTGAGCTCAACAAGCTGTTTGTCACAGAATACCATGTTTATTTCAAAGTATAAATATTCTGACAAATGGGTAAAATGGGGCAAATTTGAGAAAGGTCATGATACAGTTCAAGTTGATAGGCTTTTTAAAGTCCAAGATCTTTGGAAAACCTGAGTCTTGTGCTATGTATCTGACAGCTTCTCAATTATTTATTTATTTATTTATTTTTGTTGGTCGTGGGGCTTGAACTCTAGGCCTGGGAGTTGTCCCTAAGCTTTTCAGCTCAAGGTGAACATTCTAGCACTTGAACACCACTTTCGGTTTTCTGGTGGTTTACTAGAGATAAGTATCTCACAGACTTTTCTGCCCAGGCTGGCTTTGAACCACCATCCTCAGATCTCAGCCTCCTGAGTAGCCAGGATTGCAGGTGTGAACCACTGGTGCCCAGCATAACTTCTGAATATTTAAAGACTTTGGTAAATTGGCAGTGATAATAACAAAAGTGAGCTTTTTATATTATAAAGAAGTATAAAACATTATTTTCTAAATGACCATTCATTGTGCAAGATAAATCAATGAGTACTAACATAACAAGGTCACTGAGAGTGAAATTTTATTGAAACCCTTGAGGAATATTTACAATTATCTGAAAGAGATGCTGTTAAACATCCTACAAGCACAAGCTGCCTCACAAAAAGATTAGCTCAAAGTATTAATAGTATCAAGGCTGTGAAACCCTGTAGTAACATACTACTTATTATACATATACAGTTTTTTTGTTGTTTTTAGGGGGGGTCCGGTCGTGGGGCCTGAACTCTGGGCCTGGGCGCTGTCCCTCAGCTCTTCAGCTCAAGGCTAGCGCTCTACCACTTGAGCCACAGTGCCACTTCTGGCTTTTTTCTTTTTGCTTATGTGGTGTTGAGGAATCGAACCCAGGGCCTCATGCATGCAAGGCAAACGCTCTACCACTGAGCCACCTTCCCAGCCCTACATATACAGTTTTTAAAAAATTGTTTTACTTTTTTTTTTTTTTTGTCAGCCATGGGGCTTGAACTCTTGGCCTGGGGTGCTATCCCTCAGCTCTTCAGTTCAAGGCTAGTGCTCTATCACTTGATCCATAGTGTAACTTCCAGTTTTCTGGTGATTTATTAGAGATAAGAGTCTCATGGACTTTCCTGGCCAGGCTGGCTTTGAACCATGATCCTCAGATCTCAGTCTCCTTAGTAGCTAGGATTCCAGGCATGAGCCCCTGGCACCTGGCTTACTTTCTGAACAGTAACTAGCAACATAATCTACAGAAATGCTCTTTATGATACTCAGTAACGTATAAGTTCTTCAAAAAGTCTGAAGAACATCAGAAAGCCAAAATGATTTGCTTCCATACTGTAATTAAAGCAGTCTACAGATTCTAATGTCTACAGTCTTATCCTAATATTGTACTTAGTATCATGCAAAGCAATTAGCTGGAATAATACAACTTTTTAAATTGCTTACCTGTTCTTTATGTGGTAATATATTGCTAAAGTCACACTGTGGAAGGAAAAAAAATTGTAAATTTTATCATGCTTTAGGCCTAAAGACATTTTTTTTGGGGGGGAGGGGGGACTGGGAGTGGGAGTGATGACCTTCCCAGTAGCCCTGAAATCCTCAGCTCACAACAGTACCAAAACAGGCACTTTTCCCTTTGTTTAGTACTTTGGCTTTTAGCATATATAGCAGAATCCAAATGCTAGGCAATGTGCTATCAGAACACGTTTCTACTGATGTTGTATATATAAATTCTTATATATTTCATCTGTCCCTTCTACTCACAGAGCCCTTCATCCAGTTATAGTTACTTGTACATATACTTAAGCCAAACTATAGATTTTTGTTGTTAAGTTTTTGTTAGGTCCAGTATTTCAACTGGTTCAGCTCACTATCCATTTACCAACTGTTTTCCATTATTTCCCTAAAAGTAAATAATGAGTACTACATATGAAATAATAGCGTTTAAAATTACTTTTGCATGGTTATTAGCAGAAAACTTATTAGTAACTATAGGTGCCCACAAAAGTGACAGTATAGCTACCCTAAAATAAACAGTGCTAACCACACAGCACAATATTATGTAGGATATTAATGGTGGCTATTTCTAAGTTAGTTGAAGTGAAATATTAATGCACACAATCCAAAATGTTATGTTCCTTTAATTCTAAGTTACTACAGACAGTGTGCATCAGGGTATAGAGGGGTTATTTCCCTTTACACTTACTGTCTAAAAGAAGCACAAAATAAACGAGGGAAGGCAAATCTGAATTTGGAAAGTAGGTCTATACAGTATTTAAAATCTAATGTTTAAATTTTACATTGCATTATTGGCATCAAAGATGGATACTTCTATAGTGTTTGTTTTATATCCACATATGCCGAAAAGGACCACCAAGCCATATGTGACAGGACAGTTTACCTACCTACCAACCCATTCTAAAGATAAGGGAACCTAGGCTTAACACTGATTTGTTCAAGGTCCCAACCAAATATAAGCAAATCCTCTATACTCTTATTAAGCAGTGGCTCCCAAACAGCTGCACACTGCAATCACCTGAAGAGCTTTAATACTGCCTAACTTCAATATGGATTGAGACATTTGGATTCACTGACACTGTGAATGACTATGGGTGTCTGCATTGTTTTTGAAGTTTCCAAGTGATTTCAAGGTGCAGCAAGGTTTGGAAATGATGAAGGGTAAGATCAGAATCATTTATTGCTTTTGTGAGTGCCTATAGAGGGTAAAGTAGAGGTGGGAAAATGAATGTGCTTGCAGACATACATTTTGAAACAAGGGATTCTGTTCTGATGAGATTAATCCATCGTATTGAAAGAAAGATACTACTTCACTGCAATAAACATGTTTTAAAAACAATTTGCCCTATTGTTTTTCTTGGTAAGCCTTTATTTCACCAGTACTGAGCGTGCTGATTTTTAAAACAATGAACACAAACTAAAACCTACTCTTCAAGCAGATTTCTAAAAATCAGACTAAGTCGGGGGCAAATATAAACAAACATGTTTAAACAAAGGTTACTCTTTGGGGGTGGGCAGTATTGGGATTTACACTGGGGCCTCAACACTTGCCAGGCAGGTGGCTCTACCACTAACCCACACCCACTGCCCTTTTATTTTTGATAGGCCAGCCTGGACCTTTATCCTGTTTATGCTTACTATGCAGCTGAGATGACAGACATATGGCATTCTGCCCAACTTTTTTGCCTGGGCTGGCCTCCTATCTCTAATCTTGGCCTCTTGAGTAGCTAAGATTACAGATGTGAAACTAAGGTTACTCTTTAAAACTATACACTGGAAATATACTGAAACAGAGCATCTTTTACATTTGAATAAACCTGAGAGCTCTAATCAAAGTACAGTGATTGTTCACTCATGGATCTATGGGTTGGCTAAATGTACAATGATCATTCAATAATGTCCAATCTCAGCCTTTTTGAGAGCCAGAACTCAGTTTTTGTTGAAAGACGATTTGTTCTCAACTACTATTACAAATAGAAGAAGTTACATTATGAGTGAAAAATTTGCAGTTTTGAATTAAAGTATGTTACTGATAATTTACTAGCTAAATGAATTAAAAAGCCAATGTATTAGAAACAAAATTAAGTTTATAAGCTGATTACATTTTTTGAGTAAATAGTGAAATTACAGATAGGGTGTTAACATTAATGAAGCATCTCCCAGACTGAGCTCTGAGAGCCAACTTATAATTAGAAAGAGACATTAATAATGTTCCCTGTGTGGTTGAAAAGCTATGTACCCTTGTTTGTTGTTGGTTTTTCTCACGGTAGTAAGTCACCAGGCTCATTTTAGAGGATAGTGAAAGTGTGTCTCCACCTGTGACCTGTGAGACTGCTAAGGTACACAGGGGAAGATTCAAAGTGGGTGCCCTCGGGGGCCAGTAGAGGAAAAACTGTTTCTTCTCAGAATAGGTTTGTTTCCAAAGTAGTAAGCCTGTAATGCATACAAAACTAATTTATCTACAAATATCCAATTAAAAGTACCTCTTTCTCTCATTATGCTCAATAGTGTCTCAACAACATAAATACAACAATAAACTAGTATGCTCTTCCTGGGATTCTTTCTTTACTAACTGGCTTTGCCCATGCAGTCTGGGATTAAAATAAAAATTGAGAATTCACATTTAGATCTTTAAAAATCAATATGTAATTGACCCCACTCTCTTTTACTGAGCACTGAGGAGGACAACCAGATGGCTGACATTATCAATAATGGTTGGGATGCTTTTAGCAGAAGGGGGTCTGTCACTCAGCCCTCAGCAACCTAGTTGTACTCACCATTTTATTGTGGTTCTAAGATTAGGCTGGCTGACTGTGCTGTCATCTAGAAATATTGTTGAGCATGAGCTATACTTTTTAGTGAGCTGCCCTGGAGATACCTGAAGGGGAAGGGAAATAGAAGAAAATGTCACAGTAAGTTAAACCTATAAAATGTGGTATTTTTCCTTGGATAAAATGTCAAATGACAAAGCATCACGATATTTCTTATTCTCCATCAACTACTTGAGTGTAATTTCATGTGTGGTTCTACAGCAAACCTGCTGGAGGCACTTAACTTCCACAGATGATGTCTGAGGAATAGGTTATAAAATGCTGCTTTGGTGTACCTAGAACCAAACCTGACAAGCATCTATTATAAATTTCCTTTATAACTATTACAAAAAATTTAAAAATAAGACTTCAGTGTTTTTTTCATAATAAAAAAACAGCTGTAATTTTCTATTTCTTCTACTTAGTAACAATTGTAAAGTGTAATGCCTAACAGAATACTGTCATACATGCATATTATTGGAGTAATTAAAAGCCTAATAATACACATACTAAATGTCTTAGTGTGGTGAAGCAAATATTCCAGAGTCAGAGGCATTATGTGCCAATGCTACTCAATCGCTAACAAGCCAGTGAGCTGTCTTTCTAGGTCTGTACCATATGTAAAGCACAAAATTACTGTTTAAAATTCTCTCAATTTCTAAAACAGAAGATAGACTACTCTGGAATTTTAACTTTCATTTCATGTTTAAGTATACTGTCATTTCATCACTAAAAAGCCTCAGCCAAATATTTCATACTTTACTCATTTTATTCTCTAAGTTGTTTATTTGGCATACATCCTGGCACTTCCTGCCTCACTCATGCTTCTCTCTGCCAGAATGCCCTTTTCTTCTTGTCTAAAAAGCTTGATGCCATCTCTCTTCTGTTTTACCTTTGCTAGCAGCCACACCAGAAAACACTTCCTGCACTCATTCTCCAATTGACCATTTGTTAAAAGGTATCAACTGATTGTAGGGTGTCCCTCCCCCTTGTAAGAAAGTAAATTTCTCCAGAGAGGGGAAGACTCTGGTTTCTGAGTACCAATAGGGAGTTCAATAAGTGTTTGGCAAATCAATCAATTACGAAGCTAGGAAGATAGCTCAGTGGTGGAGCATTAGCCCAACGTGCACAAATCCTGGGTTCATTTCCAGTAACCTGGTGAAGTGGTAGAGGGAATCAATTAATTTACAACATGAATCTCACTACAGATAGACATTAATGAAAAATTATCTGCAGTCCTACTGGAGAGATGAACAATGAGCCAAAGCTCTGAAGAATAACCTATCTTTAAAACACTTTAGAAGTATCCATTTCTTTGCAAAGAGTGCAAGAATATAGCAGTATCAAATGTCGAGACTGCCTAGAATATGTTAAGAGAATTCTCTTCCTTACAGATCAGGCCAATAATCAATCTCATCACTGAATGGTTAACAACTGACAACAACTTTCTTTAAACTACAGGATACCAACCATTTTAATGTTCTTTAAAAAATAAACTAATTCAGATGAGCCTTCCTTCCTTCTATAATACAAAGATTTTGTCATGCTGTCACTCTGGCCCATTAAGTAACTCCCACAAACAGATGAAAGATGGAGCAGGCAGAAGACCTAGTTGAAAATGTACAGCATTTAAAGACTGTATCTCCTAAGTCAGAATAACCATTTAACATATAGAAGTGTTCTGTTCACTTCAGATGTTTTCACTGCAAAGCTACTTATTCCTTCAAAGTTCCAGATGTACTATTTTGAAAAGGATAACTATTTGAAAGAATGAATTCTCTTTCAAGCTAGAAATGTTTTAACTGCATTTAAAAGTCTTAATTCTTAAGCTATTCCATTAAGTCCACTCTTTGCATCAATTAAGTTAATGTGTATACCTTTAGAGACTCAAAAAATACAACATGGAAAGTGAAAACTCATTCATTCAAATACTTCTACATAAAAAATCTTATTGAGGTCACTATTACAGAGTGAATATTACAAATCTAAATTGATTAGGAATGTAACTTTTATTCTGTGGAAAGATCTAGAATATTGTATACAATATGTCTGATCTGAAGATGGGACCCAAGTCTAAACACAAGTGCACTTATGCTTCATATTTGCCTTATACATATGTAGTCTGAGGGTAATTTTAAACAGTACTTTTAGTTTGCTTACATCTTTACTAAAACCTGTCATATGAACTCAGGCATTATGTTGGCATTCAAAAAAGTTTTAGATTTTGGAGCACTTTGGATTTCCATACTAGGAATGTTCAACCTGTATTATGGGGTAAGAATATTTCATACACCACACCAGAACAAAAATCAATTCTGACAAAAAATAACAAGGGAAAAGAGAGTCAAAATATAGATTCAGTGGTCAGTATTTTAGGTGACATTTTCTCCTATTTTCCTTTACTTTTGCTATTATGAATGCATGCTGGCTTGTCTGAAAATATTATTGCTAAAATACATTTTTAGTGAGCTGTAGTTTGTATAGCCCTACACCTCATTTGGCAAATCTGTAGCTTATTGGCTAGATGTAGCCCAAGAAATACTTTCCTATTAGTTCAGCTTACTCAAGACGGAGGAATTATTCTTTCCAAAGAAACAGACATTTGTGCTACTTATTGCTCCTTGTCTCCCTTATTTTTTAAGGTGGCCAGAAAAACTGACACAAAAAGTCTCTTCTGTGAATACATGGCAGAAACACAGTACTCATTTTCTGGCTATTCAAGCTTTTTAGGCTTGAATCTAGAAGGTAGAAGAATTGTTTCCAAGTCTAGACTAGTGGCTAACTTTCCTTTGACATGTTTGAAACCTTAGATCACTTGGTCAGTGTGGTGAAAGCCTTTCCATTGCTGGCTTTACACTCAACAATCTATACTGACATACATTAAGGATAAAAAATGTAAATGTTAAAAAGTAAAATACTACTGACAAGTAGATTCTAAAATAGAAACAAAGAATAACATTTATCTTCATTGAGTCAGCACAAATAACAGAGTACAGAATTTTTTCCAGGAAAGAGGTACTTGGTAGACTTGAAGTCACATGGTAAAGACTAAAAATAATAGTAAGTCATAACTCAAACTTTTATCAAGGGTCAAGTACCTGTTGAAATTCCATCCATACCTACTAGCCTTTCCCCTTGTGTCTGTCTCTTTAACTCATTCATAACATAAACTAATTAAATGTATCAATATTAAATGTATTAATATGGTATTAAATGTATTAATATGGTACTTTCAAGGGAGAACTCAAATAGCATAATTCTTTAGACAGGCAAAGTCAAGGCCAAAAAAAAAGTACTAGGAAAGAGGTACTTGCAAGGGGTGAGATGGGGGTCAAAGGGAGAGGGATAGACGAATGAAGAGAGGAATAAGGGGAGAGTGCAGTCAAGAATTCAATGTACAGCCTACTAAATTAAGAAAGGGAAGGGGAGGGCTGGGTGAGATTAAGATGCTTTGTTAGCTGGCAACTCCTCTGTACACGTACTTAAATAAATTTTAAAAGTAAAAGTGAAATTCTTTTTATTTTTGTTGGCACTGAGTTTGAACTCAGAGCCTCATACTCAGTAGGCGCACTCTACATCTTGAGCCTTTTTTTTGTGGTGGTTATTTTTTTGTATAGACTTTTTGCATTCTGTTTGGAAAAATACTCCTATTACATACATTTACCATACACCTGGCTTATTTACTGAAAGGGGGTATTGCTAACTTTTTCTTGTCCTAACATCAAACTGCAATTGGTCTTGATCTTTGCCAAGTAGCAGATGTGAGTCCCTATGCCCTGGCCCTCTCTCGTTTTCTATAAGACAAAAGTTTTAGATGTTATATATGTGTGAAATGTTTTTGTAAATGGCTTTTAGTTATCTTAAATTTTTTAGCACTTACAGAAACTTTCTCCTATGTTGCATGGTAATGGAACTGTAAGGTCTGCTCCTGGATGGCTAGTAGACCCCACCCTCTTCCCAGCAAAGTCTCCACCCAGTACCTGCCTTACCTAGGCAACTGGGACACCTGGAAGAGGTCACATCTGCATCCACTGAAGTCACATCTGAATTTGATGTGGCCATACCCTTCTCCGCCCATACCCTAGATAAGACCTAGCCCAGGCCCAGACGCCCTCTTCCCTGCTCTTTTCTAGCTCTCAGCTTTTTCCTTCTCTTCTCTTTCCCAGCTCCCTCTCTGCTCTTTTCTAGCTCTTTCTCAACTCTTTCCCACTTTTCCCAGATGCTCTCTTTTCTGCTCTCTCTGCTTTTTTCTAGCTCTCTCTGCTCTCTTCTAGCTCTTTCCTCTCTTTCCCAGCTCTCTCTCATTCCCAGGCCTTTCCCAGCCACATGGAGTGCCAACCTTGCCTGGTCCCAGCAGGTCTACTGAATAAACCTACCCCTTACCTGAATACCACGTGCGTGGTGCTGTTCTTACTTGGCTACCTCTTTTTAAAAACCTAACATAAACAATTTGCAGAACACATGGTGTGAATAGAATTCTTAAAACAAGGCCTTTCATGTATGATACCTTCATGCTAATTACAGGCATAACTTTTAGAAGTTTGGATTAGCATCATTAAGTATATTAAATTTAAACTGAAATTTACACTTTGAATTCAGACTCTAAATTTTCTAAATTTCCTTTCCCTCTTGAAATCTCAAAAACTAAAGGCACAAATAAAGGTTTTATATGAGACCCAGAAACAAGATTCCCATATTGTTTTTAACATTTGAAAGATGAGAAGTAGATAAAGGAATGGTGGTAACTGTCAGAACAACAGAACCACAGCTCTGATACCTACGGAGAGTGACTGGGCCAAGAAGAAAGCAGACAACATCTCGAGGGCAGGGGGGAAATGTGGAACAAAAGCCAAAGTCAATCGGGTATTTGCAGTCAGAGCCCCAAAGCCCACCTGTTCTTCATCTTAAAAGAAGTCTAGTCAGGTGCTGGTAGCTCACTCCTGTAATCCTAGCTACTCAGGAGGCTGAGAACTGAGAATCACAATCAAAGCCAGCTTGGGTCCATGAGACTCTCATCTCCAATAAAGTACTCAGAAAAAGCCAGAAGTGGCGCAGTGGTTCACTTGGTAGAGTACTAGCCTTGAACACAAAGAGGCTCAGGAACAGTGTCCAGGCCCTGAGTTCAAAGCCCAAGGCCGGTGGGGAGAGGGGGGTGGAGGAGGGGGTGGGAAGAAGTCTAGGTAGCTCTTCTGTAGAGAAACTACACCTGACAATTTTTGGGCTTAGAGATATGCCAGGCTTAGAAGAGGGCTAAAACCTGGAAAATAAGAAAAGGAACTGTAAGTGAAAGGTAGAACTGCTTCTCTTTCCCAACTTCTGGAAAGCAAGCTTCTACAAACATGCTTATAATTCCTAGGCAGAAAATTGGGACAATCTTCTCTAAAGAAATTTAACTGTTCCACAAAAAAATACCAAGTTTCTATGAATAAGAAGCTAACTTGGCCCCTAAATCCTTCCAGTAAGATCTGTGAGTTAACAAGCTTTGCTAACAAAGAGAAAGCCAAGGACCACCACTCATCTGAGAGAAATTTCCAAGGACAGGTCAAAACAATGGGAAAAGGAATTCATGGTATGCTAAATTTCAGAAGCAAAGGAAAGCTTAAAAAATTTTTTTTTCAATAGAAGGCTTAAAAAGTATAAAGTTAAGGAGATTCTCTCTAAGGAGGGAAATAGGTAATGGATTCCAGTGCAAATATACTGTTCTAAGAGACTTGCAATCTGAACAACATAAAATATCAAAGAAAGAAAATTCTCTAGAAGAAATAGTTTTATAGACTCCACAACAAACCAAACATATATTGAAATCCTGCAGACCCAGGATAGAAGGTACTAAAAGCTTCCAGAGGGGAGTAAAAGTTCGCCTATGTATCACATACTGGCAACAGATGTAAGAGCAGTACTAAGAGAAGATGGAAAACAACAGAGAACTCTTAAGGACTGTCAAGACTAATTTCAACCTAGAATTCTACTTTTATCAATAGGCGGAGCTTTCCAACAAGCTAGATCTCTATTCTAATTCTTTTCTTTCTTTTCTCTTTTCATTTCTTTTTTTTGGTCTGAGACCAGAACTTGAACTTGGTACCTGATACTTTCGCTTACTGGTTAATGCTCTGTCTTTGAGGCACACCTCCAACCCCCCAGATTTCCAAAAACATACATGTGTCATTCCTAAGAAAAGATAGGTACTCCAGCAAAAGAATAAAAGTCCAAGAGGAACAGAGAATCTAGAACATGGAGAATCCAAATAAGGAGAACAGTTATGTGAGAGCTCAGATAATTCTGAGATATTCCAGAAAGGCAGGCAGAGAGCAGGCTTAAGAAAAATCCATCTGTACTAGAGTAACATGGCAAAAGGGCTGCCTTCAGAAAGAAAAAATGAACAGATGTGTTTCAGTAGATAGAAAATATTTTTGATAGACATGTGACAAATGTTACAACATTTTGGGTTAAGAAAAAAGTAGCTGTTAGAAAACAAGCAAGTAAAAATAGGAAACTAATTCTACAAAATAAAAACCCCAGAAAAGAACATGAAAACAAGGAGACCAGCCAGGGATTGCTACTTACTGCAATTGGCTGTTTGAGGAAATGGGAGCATTATACAGGGTAGATGAAGTGCTCCATTTTCAGAAGCATTTAATAGAATTAAGGGACTATCAGGGGCACAGTGAGTACTATGATTCAGAAGGTCACATATATTTGTATTGTCATAATATAAAGACACATTAGTGATTTAACACAAACTGTGATCCATGTGGAAGAAGTCAAGGGGAAATAGCACCACAGTGGAAGGAGGAAACTAACTTTTCACTTCCTATGACAAAGAAATCACCAGCCTCCCAACTAACAGTAGGTAATTTGATTTAAAGGACTAAAAATTAAAGCAAGAAATCTTCAGGAAACTCTTTATACTACAACTATGTTGCTGACATTTAACAAAATATTTAAAATCCTTTAAAATGGACAGAACTAAGTTAAGGAATTGCCTGAGTAAATTTAATACTTGAGAAAATAGAAGTGATTTAGAAAATCCACAAAAAGAGGTTCATGCTAACAATATTAGGCTCTATCCTATTCTGTAGAAATCACGGTAGACATATTTTTAATTTAAACTATTAATTTAACTTTTCAAGTGTTTACTTACATGGTTTAAATGGTTGCTCTTCCTCTTTTCACGCACTAAGAATAAAAAAAATTAACTGATCAATTGATACAAATGCCACAAAAAAATTAAAATAGCCACTTACTATCTAATGAATTACTAGCATACAAAATGAGGTAAAATTAATTCTATTTTTTAAAAATATAAATATGAATAAAATAAAATATAAAAATAAAAATATAAAGTATAAATAATTGATTATTTAATCAAGATGAGCTCCATAAGGTACAAATTTAAAAACTTAGTGTTACTTTTTTACAAATAATCTGTTAGGTACAAATGAGACGCTCCAAATACAAAAAAGGAAAGGGCAAACCCAATAGGGGTAGGTGGGAAATTTGACTAATTGAGGAAACAGTTTACTTTTTACACATTTAAGCAGAATTTTCTATAACTTACTGCTTTCGGCAGGCCCTAAATGCTAACAGCTCTAAGCCTAGGAGAAACCAGCTCTACTATTCCTAATCTGCCAAACGTGGTTACTGAAAACACGTTACAGAAAAACTGGGTCTCAACCCATAAAGGTCTCACTTTGTTCCCCGACCATCTCCTCCAGTCCCTCTTGGACTGCTCTGCTATAGGTACCCATCCTTCCCACAAAGAGAGGAGGGGATGGGCTAGCTTTTCTTTTACGGCTTCCTCAAATTTTACATATGACATATGAGAAGCCCACAACTCTTGAAAATAGTAATACAGCTAGAAATGACTGCTCAAGAAAGACAAAATACAAATTATTAAAAAGCAAGTTAGAAACCCCACTTGTTAGTGTGTTGCATTATTGCAAACATGATTGAACCTTTGATATTTTTGTTTTGTATCAAATGTTATCATCTTAGTTATGTAGGAGGGATGACCCAGGAAGAAAAAAAATGTAAAATAAGGGTGCAGAAAAATCCTACAATTCTGGTTCTTATCCTGAAACCAGGATGAAAGAGGAAAGTTATACTAGTTTGAACACACTAACATTCTTGGAAAAACCATAGGATAAGTTCGCTCTGAGTACTATAAGGATGAAAATTTTTTTTGTGTGTGCCATTCCTGGGGCTTGAACTCAGGGCCTGAGCACTGTCCCTGAGCCTCTCTGTGCTCAAGGCTAGCGCTCTACCACTTGAGCCACAGCGCCATTTCTGGCTTTTTCTGTTTATGTGGTACTGAGAAATCAAACCCAGTGCTAGGCAAGCATTCTATACCACTAAGCCACATTCCCAGCCCTGAAAACAAGTGCCAAGCACTTGTAGCTCATGTCCTAACTCCTCAGGAGGCTGAGATCCAGAGCACTGGAGTTAGAAGCTAGCCAAGGCAGAAAAGTCTTCAAGACTCCATTCTCCAAAATAAGCAGCAAAAGGCAGGGCTAGAGGCATGGTTCAAATGGCAGAGTACTAGCCATGCAAGCCAACCAAATACAAGGCCTTACTGATATCCTGGTATCAGAAAAAAAAAAGTTCTGAGTAGTAAATTTGGATGTGGTACAGGCTCGTTTGGTTAAAGCACTTGTAACATGTCAATTAAAGATAAGCTAGTTTTGATTTGTACACAGGGAAACCTGTAACCTGAATCTTTTCATATTTAAAACATGCTCTGGGGCTGGGAAGGTAGCTCAGCGGTAGAGTGCATGCCTAGCAAGCATGAGGCCCTGGGTTCGATTCCTCAGCACCACATAAACAGAAAAAGCCGGAAGTGGCGCTGTGGCTCCAGTGGTAGAGCGCTAGCTTTGAGCTGAAGAGCTGAGGGACAGAGACCAGACCCAGAGTTCAGGCCCCATGACCGGCAAAAAAAAAAAAAAAACATGCTCTGTGGAATAAATGGACAGGAGTAAAATAGTACAGAATGCAGTAAAAATAAATCCATCACTACTTCTAAATGATGTGGTCAACTGTACTGATACAAGAGATAGAAAACCCATGTTCTCACTAAAAGAATGATAGAGGAAGGGTACCACCATATCAAAAGTTATGTGAACACAGTAAGAAGTAGGAAATTTTAAACCAATGAACAATGACAAATTTAAACTAATAATTTCTGTAATAGATCACTTAAACAATTTTCAGTCCTTTTCTTCATGAGGACAGATATTGTCTTACCATCCGTTTGAGATTTGCTGAGGAAAATTGTGCTTGCCCTTGGGTGGTCAGAAGGGTTTGATTCCAAAGCTAAATCTATAGGGGAAGAGAAAAAGATGTGATCATTAATTAGATAAGTAGAAAAGTACATGGTTTACAAAAGGGCTACACATTAGAGAAAGGTTTTTAAGTATGTGTGTATGTGCATGCTTAGCTTTTTTGCTCTAGACTAGCATGCTACCACATTAGCCACAGCTCCTCTATGGCTTTTTAACTGGAGATAAGAATCTCATGGAGGGCTGGGAAGGTGGCTCAGTGGTAGAGCGCTTGCCTTGCATGCCTGAGGCCCTGGGTTCGATTCCTCAGCACCACATAAGCAAAAGAAAAAAGC